AGGGAGGTAGGTGACAGGGAGGGAAAGGGGAGTTGGGGACTAAAAAATGAAGGTGGTGGGAGTGGGGAGCGAGCACTGAAGATGATCATGATTGCACAACTCATTTGGGGGGCAATTCAACCATGGGAGGGGGGGGGATGCTCTAAGTTGGATGTGGTGGTGACTGTACAATTCCCCCTTGATATGATTGAATGATTGAACTATTCAATTGCATGAAGATGGATTGCCACAGCAATGCACAATTGCCTCTAACCTAAAAAGTGTGAGGATGGTGCAGGACCAGTCAGTCTTTCTGTCTGTTGTGCGTGAGTTGGCTGTATATGGGTTAAAATCGACTCAAGGACACCTAACAATCACAATGGCATGATAGCTGGTCAGAAACCGCAAAACATTTTGGTGGTTCCCCATGTGATTAAACATAGAATTGGACACAGCCATTTCTCTCCTAGGCAGGCATAAAAGCAACTGGAAACAGATATTCAAACAAATATATCTACAGGCATATTTTTAGCAGCATTATTCACAATAGCTAAAAGTTAGAAACAACCCAAATATATATCAAGAGATGAATGGTTGAACATATTTTGGTACAGGGAATCCAGGGCTGATGACCAGTGGTGTCAGTGTCGATACTGGGAGGGTAGAGGGAGAGTGGGTTAGAAAGAGGGAACCGATTACAAGGATCTATATGTGACCTCCTCCTTGGGGGACAACAGAAAAGTGGGTGAAGGGAGACGTCGGACAGGGCAAGATATGACAAAATAATAATTTATAAATTATCAAGGGCTCACGAGGAGGGGGGAGGGGAAAAATGAGGACATGATGCCAGGGGCTTAAGTGGAGAGCAAATGTTTTGAAGATGATGAGGGCAATGAATGTACAAATGTGCTTTACACAATTGATTTATGTAATGGATTGCGATAAGAGTCGTATGAGCCCCTAATAAAATGATTTAAAAAAATGATAAGACTCCATCTTACATGCTTTGGAAATGGTATCAGGCGAAATTAGTTCCTGGAGAAGGACATCAGGCTTTACAAAGCAGAAAAACCCAACACAACTCACTGCCCAAGTCAATGCGGACTCACAGTGAGTCCGTGGGGGTTTCTGAGATCACAACTCTCTAAGGGAATCGAAAGTTCAGTCTTTCCCGGCAGAGCTGATGGTGGTTTCAGACTATGAACCATGCATGTCACAGCCCAATGCGTAACCACTACACCCCCAGGGCTCCCGTACAAAGTAGAAGTGCGGGGGACAGGGGACAGACCCTCAGCGATATGATTGACACCATGACTACCGGGAGCACCAGCTGGGAACACTGGTGAGAATGGTGTAGGATCGGGCAGTGCTTCATGCATCCTGTTGTGTACAGGGGAGCTAACAGCAACAAGGACAACCTGATGGAACATAATACCAAGTGAAAAAACAAGGTTTGCTTAATAGACGGCTGTATGTATATGAAATACTCAGAATCGATCATTTACAGAGTCGGAAAGCAGCCTGGTGTTTTCCAGATGGGAAACAATTGTTTCATTGTTCCTGCGGAGGAAAGAAAATATTTTTGAGTTAGGTAGAGGCAGTGGTTGCATAATACTGTAAATTTACCAAATGTCCCTTTTAAATGGTTAATTTTATATTCTGTAAATTTTGTTTCAGTCAATATTACTATAATGTAATATAATATTTAATAGGCAAAATCCGCTTCATTATATAGCACACATGTGTGTTATTTGAATGATCTTAAGAAAGGTCCTGTGTGCTAATCCTTAATTCTCCCTAACCAAAACAATAAAACTAAAGGGTTTTTTAAATCTAATAAAAATAATATTTCTCTTGCCTTCTGCTTTCATTTATTTTAAGCTTATGATTCTTTTAAAAGTTCATAAAATTCAATTTCATTAAACTGTGTTTTATTTAAAGTAATTCACTACATGTGAAAAATATGTATTTTCAAATGTTAGAAAACATTAAGAATGGCTTTTAGAATAACAAACCTATTTTAGTTAATTTTTATGTGTATGTGCATGGCATGTCTTCAGCTGCTAAATGAAATGCTAACGGTGAAAATTAGCCATTGAAAATCTTATGAAGCAGAGTTCTATTCTGATATAAGTCTGAGTTGATGTCATGACAACCATTTAGCATTTTAAATGAACTTTCAGAATCCTTTCCTCTTCCACCAGATTAGTTACCAAGACATTGAAACCATGCCCTTAGCACTAATGTAGTAGTTTATTTCAAAATGCCATGCTAATGTGACTTCTAGTTAAATCTTAAAGATATCTATGTCACTCATGGTGCCCCTTTGCCAGGTTCCTCCCCAGCCTGGGTGATCTCTACCTCATGCTCTGGATCAAGTGTCAGTTTTCTATGAAAATATTAACTTATGGAGATGGGGTTCAGTGCTCTTGTGCAGACAGATGCAAGATGGCAGACATTACAAAACTAAAGATCAGAAATTTAAGAGAATGGGCTCCTAACTAGAGATCCAGAGCAGGCTGAAGACTGTGGAACAAGCCAGAAATCCAAAGCAGGTTGGAGACCTGTGTGAAGGCCAGAGAGCCAGAGAAGAGCTCATGTCTTTTCTTGGCTATGGATACTGAGATGTTACTTGCTGATGGCAGCAAGGTGGTCAAACTGCCCGCTCTTGCATCCCCTTCCAACACCAAACATCAGAACTATAGCCCTGAGGGTAGGGGAAGAGGGAGAAGGTGGGGAGGGGAAGCTGATAGCATTGATGACGGTATAACCCCACTTGAAGGGAGTCACCAACAGATTGTACAAGAATGGATAGAGTGGATTGTGTAAGATATGGCAAAAATATATACATACCTACATAGGCTTCCTGGGGGGTACAGTGGGGAAAGGAAGAGTTAAAGGGGAGCTGATATCAAGGAGTTCAAGAATAAAAAGAAAATGGTTTTAAACTGATTGTGGTAGTAATTGTACCCTACTGGTTGATGTGATTGAACAATGGAATTTTATGATATCTGTAAGAGCTCCCAATAGGATGATTAAAAAAAATCCCAACAAATAAATGAATAAAGATATCTATATCAAAATGTGAGACAAATTAAAAAAATAACATAAGGTAGTAAACCAACTTCTCACTTAATGTTATGGTTAGGTTCCAAAGACCATGTTGTTAGTGAAGATCAGCATGAAAATGGAGGGCGGCCACGTTAGATAACAAGGTGGAGAATGACTTTATCATTGCATATCTGCCAATGTGAATCATTTATAACTAACAACCCACTGAGAACCATGACCCCACAGACTTGACACATGACCTTAGCCAACACAGCTGGTGCTACGCTCACCTGCTATTAGTTTCCTATTGCCAGATGCACGTATCACTAATACACAAAATAGTTGGATAGTAATTTTTTCTATTGTAAATAAATAGGAAATGTGTGTGTTAGTTCCATAATCTTGTGTCAACTTGAGGATATTAAGACTGAAGGGGAAAAAAAAAGACTGAAAGGGTGGAGTCTAGCCTGTCAATCAGGAAACAGCCTGATGATGACCCCTTGTAGGCATGGCCTTCTCATGAGGATTCTGGGAACTCCTTCTCGCTCCTTGGAGAGGGCCACACTCTGTCTGTTTCACCTTCCTGTTGAGGAGTCACACTCTTAGAGCTGGAGGAGCTGGCGCTGAGATGCTTCCACTGGCATTGAATCCACAAGATTTTATACCCACTGATCTGTACTTTTCCTGCATTCACTACCATTGCGAGTGGCAGCCTGAGTCTGAAGAGGGATATGAACTATTTATTGGACATATGGGCTAATGTCAGACTTACGGACTTGAACTGGACTGGGCTGGCATATTTTCTTAATATTCAATTGCTCTTGTTTATAAAGCTCTTTCTTATACACATATGAGTGTCTAGGAATTTGTTTCTCTAGTCAACCCAGACTAACACGGTGACCATAAGTAAGATGTTTGTTTTAGTTCTTGTAAAAATGTAACAAAAGGGTCCATAAGTGAGGAGTAGATGTTAAGAGGTCATCTAGTGATTCATTTCTATTTATTTTTTAAATGTGGCCATAACGGGATGTTTGTTTAAATTATTGTAAAAATCCTTTATCATGTAAGGGAATTTCCCTCTATTTTTAAAATCAAAATATATAAATAGATTTAGAACAATATGAAATGCTTCTTTTATATTCATGGAAAAATTCATGTCATCCCATCAATGACTCATGCTTACATATGATCTAATGTTGAGCCATAACTGCATCTCTCCAATAAACTGTAGCTGATTATGATATACTTTTATTATGCTTTCTTTTTATTTGATTATGAAATATATTTTAATAAAATTTGTAAATATTTAAATGTTTGTAAGTAAGGAGGTATGATGAATTAGACTGCTAACTGCAAGTTCAGCAGTCTGAAATCACTTGCTTCACTTAGAGAGAAAGATGAAATTCCTGCTCCCATAAAGATTTCAGAATCTAAAGAGCCATTCTTCTCTAACCTGTAGGGTTGCTATGAGATGAGTCAGTTTGATGGCAGTGAGTTTTAATGAGTTATAAGTGTAGTTAGCATATGGTTTTCTTTTCTTTAATTAAAAGGTGTTGGTGGGATGTCTCTCTTCATAGTCTGTTAGACTACTAATTTCTAAAGTAGGAACGCCCTATTTTTTCATAGTTGGAATTTGTCTTATCTCTTATAAAGTCTTTTGTGCTTCTACTGTAAACTGTGTATCCTACGTGATAAATAGGTATGTGTTTTTGTTGATAAATTTTGAATCAATCTAAATCTATTTATATAATTTTATGAAAATAATAATAGCTTTTGGCCATATACCAGTAATTTAGATAGTTGTGTTATGCTACATGTAAAAGTAGCATATGTTATGCTACATAATAAAAGTGTTTGAGTTCATCTGTCTAAAAGTATATAGAAAAATGTTTCATAACACACTACACAAGGGTGCCTAATGAGTGTCCTTTCTCTTATGCTCTCTCGTCGTCTCTGTGTTTCTTCCCCAGGACATACAGGCCGACTGTTAAAGTCTCTGTGCTTCACAAGCCTCTCCTTTCTGTTGCTGCACATCGTTTTCCACATCACATTGGCTAGCCTGGAAGCACAACACCGTGTTACACCAGGTTATAACTGTGAGTATTACAGTGCTCTTCCTATTTATTGTACATGTGTACACAATAAAGCTATGTATCATCAAACTAATATAAGTTGGTGTGAAATTATAATATTCTTGGTAATTTGGGGGACAATCCAATCATGGAAAATCCAGTATGGTAGAATATATATATAAAGTAGCTTTGTCACAGAAAATTAAACAAAGAGCAAATTAATTAATAACATCTTCAATACATATTACATACTAGATCTCTCCCTAATCTATTAGACCTTGTACTTGAACTTACTCCAAGACCTCAAGATTTATACATAGCATATATAGTCCTTAAAATATAGCTATTGAGAAGACATGTACTGTTTCTAACATGGTTTCAGAAATTGACTGTAATTCTATCATGGGGACATCAAAACTGTATAAAGAACAATGAATATTTTGTAAGTGTATTATAAAATGTAATGATACATAGTTTTTGTTGTTATTATTCAAACTGTTATTGCTCATTGGGAAATAATGTGTCTTATACATATTATATGAAAGGATTTCAAAAATGTCAGAAAAATCCATTATATTTTAATTCTACATTTCCTCAAATTGTTTGAAACACCCTTGTATTTGAATTTATGATAAGAAAAACTCAACATAAAAATATTTTATATAAATGGTACCATCTTTCCTGAAGTAACCTGCTATTTAGTTAATCTCACTTCAGATTTTGTAAGATGTGTTATTGGCTGAATAGAGAATCTCATATAGATGGAATATAATCCATGTATTTTAGGTTAAACCAAAGGAAACTAAAATAACTATAATAACAATCTTAATTTGTCAATATTTCTTTCTTTTATATTTGTAGGACTGAAATATTCTGAACTTTGATAAAATCAAGAAAAATAATGTGAAATAAATTACATTTCTCTCTAAAATGGAAAGAAGGATAAAAGATTAAAATTTTTTATAGCGTTATGGGAAATTTATTAGTAAAATAATTCTTTATTTTTTCATTTTAAAAATCCATAAATTATTTCTTATATCTTACTGCATAATTTTTAGATATATCAAGAGCAAAGGTAAATAGTCTTTTTGGCCATTTCAGTGGGTGGGTCCAGAGTCTGTTTGGTAATAGCTTCTGGGCAACGTTTTAAAATTTTTTTTTAACTTCAGATAAAATTTAATATCATATAATTCATCATTTTAAGATATAAAATTCAATGACTTTTAATATATTCCCAATTTTGTATATCATCTAATTCCAGAATATTTTTATTGCCCCAAAAGGAAGCCCCATGCTCATTACCAGTCATTCCCCACTCTCTTTTCATTCAACTTCTAACATCTCTCTGTGGCTTTGTTTATGCTGGGTAATTCTTTAAAAGGATATGTTATAATACATAACCTTTGTGTCTTTTTCTTTCTTTTTTTTAATATAACAATGATTTCAATGCTTATCTTATGTGGTATCTGTTTGAAGAAATAATGCTCCACTTGACTAGTCCCATGGAGTTGGAGATTACAGGTGTCCCAAATATCCAAGTATTCCAAGATGCTATCCTGCTCCATTGTGTCCCCACTCCTCCCTGGAGTTGATTTCCTCATATTCCTGGGTTCTGTGATGCACTACAACATCCTACAGGAGCTCACAAAGCTTTTGGGAAATGTCTCATGTGATGTGGGTGCTCTTCAGTCCCAGATCCGGCAGAGGTCAGGCAAAAGCAAGCCAAATGCTGGGTCCAGAGTGAGAATACAGCAATTTCCAATAGTCACAACAGGTCTTTTTGTTTCTTTGAAAGCTCAGTCAAGAAATAAATATATGGTTTTCCAAGTGAGCTGTTGTGTGTTAGGACCACTACTACCAGTGTACACCTGATGTGTTAGTCTGGGTAGACTAGAGTAACAAATTCATGGACACTCATGTGTGAAAGAAAGAGCTTTATATAAAAGACCAATTGTATATTGAGAAATATCCTAGCCCAGTCCAGATCATGTCCATAAATCTGATATTAGCCTATATACCAACCTATAAATTCCTCTGCAGACTCAAGAAACAAATGCAATGACACTGAATGCAGGAAGATCACTGGCCAGTGGCTTTCCACCAGTGGCATTGAAAACATCTCAACTCTGCAGGGGTCTCCACATGACTCCTTCAGCTCCAGGACGCTAGCATAGCTCCATGTGTCTTCTCAACAGGAATGTCTCTCAGGGACTGGGTGTGTGTCCTGCCTCCCGCAGTTATTTATCTCCCTGGCTTCAAATGAGGTGATCAAGCTGAAACCTGAGTAACAGGCTAGACGCCACCCCTCCACAAGTTGACACCAAATTATGTAACTACCACAGACTACTCCTTGTCAACTTGACACTTTTAAACAACTCTTTAGCCATACATAATTTTTAACAAAACAATAGTAAAATCACATCTGTACCTAATAGGATAAAACCAAAGTGCATACAATTCAATATGTGCCAAAGCATCATTTAAACATAATATTCTATAAATGAACAACACAATAATATGCTATGCCTAACAATTGCAGTTAAGTAACACCTACACCTTAATCCTATAATCCTATAAATATATTCCCCCACTTAGGAAAGTTTGTAACCCAGTCACTTCATGCCTTTATCCGCCCCATTTTGGGTATCCAATATCTATACTGCCCACTTACATCAACCCAGTGCTCTGAGGATACAATCATATTCTTTGATGTGAAGAATCTTCATCCAATTTCGAACCTTGTGAAGCCTGCATCCATAAGCAAAGTCGTATCAGGACAGGCCATCCATAAAGTCAGCAGCAACAGTTCACAGGCTCAAAAATCTTCTCTTCATCTGGTAGGATTCTGGTCAACTCAATGTGAGCTGCCTCAGCCTCACTAGGATGCCCATGGGCTGCCTTGCCTGTAGACCATGGGCCCCATCACAAATTCTCAAGAGCCCTAGCCCCTTTGTGTTAGGTCATGATCTTTAGACCAGTCAACCCACAATCATCTTCTCCTCTAGTCCCTATATACCAGGTGTCAGTGGCCAGACTCAACCCATCTCTTTATTGCTGCATTTCTCCCACTTTCATTCAACAAGTGGATCCAGGTGGTCACCTAGCAAGCATTTTAGTTTCCCCACCACCTCTCTTTAAGAGTTCAGTCCTAGAGTGGAGAGTTTCTTCAGGGATCCAGCTTCTGACAAAAAACTACTAGTTCAAGATTGAAAAAACTAGAGTTCCTTTTTCTTAAATCTGTCAACAACCCCCTAGACAAGTCTCTTGGAATGCAAATGTCCTGAGCACTCCCAAAGCACTGGGTGGAGCTTAGCTTTTCAAAGCCTGCTTTGCAGGCATTTCCTAACCTATTTAAAGATTCAACTTAATGACAGAAGACAAGGCTTACAAACTTTCTATTTTCATACTTCCCAATAATCATTTCTATCAATCAATATATCAACAATGATAAGCTGAAGAAATCAGTGTAATCAAAGTAGAATCAGATACTAATCTAAATTCTTAAAACAGTCAAATTCAATCCTTATTTAGCTTATCTTCATCCTTATCTAAACTATTTCATTGATATAAAACATGGGATTAGATCTCTGACAGCATCAAGCCAGAGCCAGGCTTTCTGTCAGCCATTTTGACCTTCTGTCAGCCATTTTCACTAAGCAGCCTGGTCTCTCAGAAATTCAAGAGGCAATTACTATTCCTGAGAAAACATGGACTGCTTCACGAATTTATGTGTCATCCTTGCACAGGAGCCATGCTAATCTTCTCTGTATCCTTCCAGTTTTTGTATATGTGCAAAGAAAGCTGTCTTAAGTCACACTTTCTACAAAAGTAAACTCAAAGATTTCCCCAAGGAAACAAAAGGGTGACTTGGCTCACACCTTCTAATAAGGTGTGGTCTTAAAGATGCCCTCAAGACAGCAAAGGGTGTGGTTTGTTCACATGCTGGACCAAGGTCAGGCCTTAATCCCTCCCAATTCATGTCCATTGATAAAGTAGAGAATGCCTTCCAAAAGGGGACTAGAGCCACAAGCATATAAAGCTCAATATTTTAATACATCATATAAGGACTTATGGTGAAGGGCCATATTAGTTGACTATCACATTGTTGCATTTTTCAATATTTTATTCTTCTTTGTAGCTGAATAATATTCCATTGTTTCAATGGAATAATATCCCATTGTTGAGCTGTGGCTTAAATATTTGGTAAAATAGTAAAAGTCATTCCATTACTAAAAATGTATTGGACAGTTCAGTGTTTTGTTTGAGTAATAGCATCAGGGCATCTTAGAATAATAAAGAACATTTATATCATTAGCTCCCTACTTCCCCCCAACCTCAGCTGCCATTACTCTAGGACATTACTATTATTATTTTTTAATCATTTTATTGGGGGTCTCATACAGCTCTTATCACAATCCATCCATCCATCCATCCATTGTGTCAAGCACATTTGTACATATGGTGCCATCATCATTTTCTAAACATTTTCTTTCTACTTGTAGTTACTGTCTCTATAGATTTACCTGTTCTGGATTTCCTATACAGAGAAACACATACACCAAATCAAAATCAATAGCAATAACAACAACAAAATCAGAAAATATTTAAAAGAACAAATTTTACATGGTTCAAACGAGATAGCAAATGATGAGGTTTTAAACTTTAACCTAACAATATCTGCATCAGTCCACTTTCTGCATTCTTTCAGATTGCAGAATCAGGTCAAATCCCTGGTCAGTGGTCAGAGGGGATTCACCAGAGACTTAATCCACATTGGAACAAATGGATTTCGGGCTTTTCTTGTCATGCATAGTCTTCTGCAAATGTGTGTTCAGAATTAAGCTCTAAAGCAGATCTCTCCTTTGATCTTTAGATTTTATCATTTACACTTCTTGGAACAAAGAGGCTGGTGTGATTTTGGGTGGATTTGCTGACTCCTTACTTAGATGCTTCTTGTTTCAAAAGAGTTTTTAAGACGTCAGACTCTATTCTTTCGATCACCAGGCACCAGTTGATGTCTTCATCACACTTTGCTATAGCACCCGTATCTTACATGATCTCTTTATGAGAGCAGGTATCAAGCAGGGTAATATCATAAGAACTAATTGGGCAAGGATTAAGTGTGAGCTCAAAATTTGTTCAGATATCTATAGCTTATATATGTTCCTGGTTCACTTTAGAAATGTCATTTGGACTGCTAACAGAAAGGTCAGCAGTTCAAAACCACCAGCTGTTCTGTGGGAGACAGAAGAGGCTGTCTACTTGCATAGAATTATAGTCTCAAAAACCCACAGGAGCAGTGCTACCTGGCCCTATAGAGTCAATATGATTCATTAATAGTATCATTAATATAGTCAATGGTATAGAATTTAAAACACTGTTGAGAAAAGGAAAGTATACATTATGTAGGAAAGATCATTAGAACAAAATACATGGATTGTTGACTTGTAAATACTAAAAACTTAAGGAATTGAACACTACACAAATAATAGGGACTGGAGGTAGGGCAGCATTTCGGTAAAGCTCATTTATGCTTTCTAGGTAACACGAGTCATAAAAACATAATTCTAGCATGGATATAACAAATATATTATAGTCCCAATTGCATTCCCTTGATATATTTGTATTGTCTAATGCTTCTGGCTAAGACGTCCAGATTGGTGTTGAATAAGAATGATGACAGCAACATCCTTGTCTGGTTCTCATTCTCAGAGGAAATGTTTTCAGCTTTTCCCTTTGAGCACGATGTTAGCTGTTGTTTTATATGTGACCTTTATTAGGATTTTTCCCTTCTATTCCTACTTTGTTGAGTGTTTTTACCTGAAATTGTTGTTGGATATTGTCAAATAGCTTTTCTGAATCTATTGATGTAATTGTTTTTTATTTGTTCTATGTGGTGGATTGCATTGATTATTTTTCTAATGTTGGGTCATCTTTCCCTCCCTGGTATGAGTCCTACATGGTTGTGATAAATTACTTTTTCTTTTGTTTCTGGATTCTATTGACCAGATTTTTGTTGAACATTTGTGTGTCTGTGTTCATGAGAGTTACTGGTCTGTTGTTTTCTGGCTTCATAGGCCATATGACTAGTTTTGGTATTGGGGTTATGTTTTCTTCATAGAAGAGTTTGAAGACTTTGCTGGTTGTTTAAATACTGTGGTAGTTATGTAATCTGTTGTCAATTTGAGACTTAAGAGTAAAGGGGTGGAGTTTAGCCTACCAATCAGGTTGCAGCTTGATGACCTCATTTGGAGGTGCTAAGGAGATAATTAGCTCGCTGGAGGTGGGACACAGACACTCACTTCCTGTGAGAAATTGCTGTGGAGAAGACAGGCTAATCTACGCTGGAGCCCTGGAGCTGAAAGAGCCACATGGATATCCCTGCCAGTGCTAAGATGCCTATACCACCACTGGATCCACAAGGCCTTCCACCCACTGGCCTGTGATCTTCCTGCATTCGGCATCACTGCATGTGTTTTGTGAGTCTGAAGAGGACTTTAAAGATTGGTACTGGACATATGGGTTAATATCAGACTATGGACTTGATCTGGACTGGCCTGGGATGTTTTCTCAATATTCAACTGCTCTTGTATATAAAGCTCTTTTTTATACACATATGAGTGTCTAGAAATTTGTTTCTCTAATCAACCCAGACTAACACATATACATATATATATATTACATCTACACAGATTATTTTAGTCTATATAGATACTAAAATTGTTTACTATCTATCTATCTATCTATCTATCTATCTATCATCTATCTCTATACCTATAGATATATACACTAAAATCATCTGTGTAGATGAGGGACAATTCTTCACTGAACACTTGGTAGAATTCCCCCGTGAAGCCATTCGGTCCTGGGCTTTTCTTAGTTGAAATTTCTTGTTGATCTCTGTATTCTTTTGTTATGAGTCTTTTCAGTTTTTACATCCACATGGAAATATGTAGGTAGGTGTTATATTTCTATTTTTTTTCATTTCTTCTGGGTTATTAAACTTGTTGGAATTCAGACTTTTATAGATGTATATTATTCTTTTACTTCATTTGCTTCTGTTGTGACATTGCCCTATTCATCTCTAATTCTAGATATTTGCATCTTTTCTTTCTTTTCCTCAATTGTTTACCAATTTTGTTAATTCTTTCAAAGAACCAACTCTTTGTTTTGTTGTTTTTTTTCACTATTTTTCTGTTTTCCAGTTCATTTATTTCTGCTTTATTGTTTGATTTATTTTCATTGACTGAGGGTTTATGTTGTTGTTCTTATTCTCATTATTAGAGGTATTGTGGTATGTTGTTGACTTTGGATCTTCTCTTTTTGTGTGTGTGTTTATTCCATAAATAGCCCCCTGTTAACTGTTTTTGCTCTGCCCCAAAGAATTTTGGTACATTGTTTTGTCATTCTATTTATTTATTTTTCATTCCAGTTTATTCAAGGAATTTTTAAAATCAATTTATTGGGGCTCATGCAATTCATCACAATACATAGATCAATTGTGTAAAGCACACCTATACATTTGTTGCCCTCATCATTCCCAAAATTTGCTTTCCTCTTGGGTTCCCGGAATCAGCTCATTTTCCTTTTT